GGGCAAATAATATATTCAGAATTTAACGTGTTAAAGTATGGTAGCTTCAACTATGATATCTTTATGTATCTCTTAAATTTATCTCAAAACAAAATTTAAACTAGACAATTTCCACATGTACTGAAATTACAACCATTCACTGAGTGAAACATGTTTATTTTTATAGATACTGAAGTCAGATATAAAAAAGGACTGGAATCCCCTTTTCAATTAAAGGTAGTAACCTTCATTTGCAAAGCATTGTGGGAGGTATTGAACAAATTTAGGCTCATTGTAACTTAAAATCAGGACTCATCAAAGTAAACATATCACAGCATTGGACTTATGGTTATAATGCGACATTTAAATGCGAAATTAAACGTTTTCCTCATAAGGCGACTGGAAGACACCTTAAGAACTCAAAGAAAATACCCTGATGCCAATTGGCATCTACAAATGGAATTTTATGGAAATTGGGAGGGTGTGCAAATGAGGGCTACTACCTTTAATGTAAACACTGTATCTAAAGTAATGTACTTTTGTTTACACTGTATCTAAAATGAAAGACACTACGAATATCGTCTTGACCCTGAATCTCTTAACCCGTAAACTGCAGAAGTTTTATTTTTATTTTGGAGACTTTTCATGTACACTCCTAAAAAAGTACGATGATATCTCTCTTGTTCCTGCATTGTTATCATTGCATTTGCTATCATTGGAAAGCCTGTTCATTTCCCTTCACAATGATGTCCCATTTGCAATGATTATGCATTGTGCAGTACAGCTGAATACACAGTACAGCTCAAAACAAGAGTCAATATAAAGGAGAACACACTTTAGACAATAGCGATGCATTTTGCAACATTTTACTTCGGACCCACCCAAAATATTCAGGTCAGACAGGTCTAATGATAAGAATTTATTTACAGAAATCGATGCTGAGATACCCCCTGATCAAAGTAAATGCATTTTCCTCACAAAATATAGCTCTTTTGGTGAGATATTGCGCATGCGCTAAAACAGTATCGTAGCCAGGATTATGTACGGAATGATATATGCAGCGGGGACCTTACATGCAAGATCTGCTTCCTATTTCATAAGTGAGGTCTACCGATGGAATATTATCATAGAAATCTATGCTGGAATAACCCCTCTTAAAATATTCTTCTTCTTAGCAGATATTGTGCATGCGGGAGCATCATTTCAGACGTGTTGTACGGCCTAAATAAGACAGGGAAGGCAGGGAAGACAGCCGAGGGGCGGTGGAAGAAGACGGAGGCTGAGCGTGCGACAATGAAGACAAAGGAAAGGGTGGGTGGGGATAAAGTAGGAGTTTTGCACCCTACAGGCTAGGGCGCTCTCTTAATTATAAACACAGGTCTACCGAAAAAAAATTCTTACAGAAACCTATGCTGAGATACCCCCGGACTATATTAAATGCATTTTCAGCA